CCCTGAGGAAGGAAAATGTAAACCCTACAGCTGTTTCTACAGATGAATAAGCTTAACTGTCTGCTGTGCCTGAAAAGGTGAGCACACTGGTGTCCCAATCTCTGATTTACAGGCAGAAAGGCTTAAAAACAGACAATCACAGAATTTAGGGGTTGGAATGGACCCTACAGATCATCTAGTCCCAACCCCCTGCCCTGGGCAGGGACACCTCCTCACTACATCAGGCTGCTCATCCAGCCAGGCCTTGAACACCACCAGGGTTGGGGCAGCCACCACATCCCTGGGCATCCTGTGCCAGTGTCTCACCACCCTGAGAGTAAAAAACTTTTTTCTCACATCCAACCTAGACTTTCCCTCCTTCAGTTTAAACCCATTACTCCTTGTCCTACCATTGCAGCTCCTAACAAAGTCCCTCTCTGGCTCCTTGTAGGCCCTTCAGATCTTGAAAAGTTGCTATGAGGTCTCCACACAGTCTTCCCTTCTCCAGGCTGAACATGGATTATTTTGAGCTGCATTAGTAGCAATTCAAATTTGTCCTGGGCTCTGTTTTACATCATTTTCAATAGCACTTGTTCTAGTGATCCATGGCTCAGCATAGCTCTGGACAGAGATGCTGTCACACTCTGGGCATACCCAGTTTGGGCAGAGCAGAGGTGGATCTCACTGCCCGAGTAAGTGCTGGACAGGAGCTGCAACACATCCCTGAGGATACCACCCAACAGCAGAACAGATCCAAGCAAGAGACTGTGCTTCTCTCTTCAGCAGCAAGAGAGGTTTTTCAGGCATTCAAAGCCATGAATACATTAACAACCTCACATTAATGACTCACACCCGTTGCTCAAATGCAAAATAAACAGTCAAGCACCACTACACTAACTGACTCGGGTCACACAGCACACCAGTGACTAAAGACAGGATTTGGGAATCACAACTTGCTTTCACACTCTGCAATCACTTAACCACATTTCCAACAACAAACCACACTGGGTTCGTGTTACTCCTGCACATTACTGCATTTTTAGAGTGTGTTGTGCATTCAGATCCTAGGCCAGAAACAGTTACTTAATCAAAAACCCAACCAAACTTCCTTGATCAGTTTTTGCTACAGTTTCAGTCTAATAGCAAAATAACCAAAGAAAAAGGGAACAAATCTATTTTAGAAGTTGGCCTCAACCCAAGTTGGGTTTGCAACAGACACACAATGGCCAAAATAGGAGTTGTTCAGATTTGGTAGCAAAACAAAAAGGTTCAGATTAACATCCTGGTTCCAGGAAGTTCTCGCCCAATTAGCAAAGCCAGGAACTAAGCCAGAGCTTTGAAAAACATCCAAAATTTTGTGAGGAAGAACTTGAATCATGGAGTTCCTGAGTCACAGGCAACCTTTACCAGTTCTAAGCTGGAAAATCAAAAAGCTCTTTATCCAGTCTGTAGTAAGTGACTGAAAGGAGTTTGTTGGTTCTAATTCTCATTTAAATAATTAATAGAAGCACACAGTTTTATCTTCTGTCCAAACTATGCAAATGGGTGCAAGCAATTCCCCCCCCGGATCCACCCAGAGCAATGGAATGAGCAGTGGTGCAACAGCAATGCCAATAAAAGGTGCTGAATATAGAGCCCTGGGTATTGATTCAGAGAACAGAGACAGCCTGGGCAGTTCTCAGGTTGATTTTCCTCCACATCACACTCTGCCCAAAGCCACTCTGAAGAGCAGTTAATGCACCGTGCTAATTATCTATGTTTAGAATATAAGCATGGTATGTTTGACTATACATCTTCCACAGATCAGAAAGTGCCATGATGTTGACACTGTTCACACCAGGAAGATAAAATATCCTATTGAGGATGGGAAAGCTGAATTTGCATTTGGGTTGATCCATTTTGCATTCTGACTCGGGAATTTCGGTCAAGGGTTAGGACACTGCCACAGCCTGTGCTGCAGCTGTTCCTGCATTCCCTGGGAAGGTCAGACTCCAAGGGAATCCTGAAATACATTTACAGCTTGCAGAGAAGTGCCCAAGGTAGCTGAAATGAGCTTGGTTTTGGCACTTGTAGTGGGGCTGCCAGAACTCACCCAGGGCTTCCGCTCGGCTCATGCTCTACCCGGTGTCTAGACTGCTTCCCAGCTAGCAAAGATTTCAGCAGTATCAGAGCTACACTTAGTCCTCTGGATTGCAGCCAGGGAGATGAGATCCCATCCCATCCCTCACTTATGCCCAGCTTGGCAACGAGTTTCACCTGCACAAAGCCCTGAGCAGCCCTGGCCCCTACACTTTCACCACTACCACACAAATTGATTCATAATCTGATTTAATAAGCTAGGATGCCATCCACCCTCCCTGCAGCACACAGAGCTCACCAGGACATCCTAAATCCCATTCTTCACTGGCAGCTGTGTGCCATAGGGATGAGGCCCGTGCCAGGCAACCTCACACCGGCCACATTCACACCCTACAGGCAAAACCCACTGCGAGCTTTGCAAAAAGGACTTGTGGTCCTGCCTGGAGCCTTCCCAGCTCGAAGGGTGAGGATTGGAAGCAGCAAGCCCAGAAGGCACAGGGATGGGAGAACACCCGGCCCGGGCAGCAGCCTGAGCTCTTTGTGTCGGTCTCTCCGTCCCTTCCTTCCCAGATTAGGCTTGAAACTTTCGCTTTAACGGAAGAGGGCAGGGCATCTCCCCCCCACAAAGCATCTCCCCCTCCCCGGGCAGGGCA